ACATCTACTATAGAAGAATCCTGAGCCCAACAACAACATAGTATATATTTATACTATTAAGAAATATAAGTAAAAGCCATTTATTTCTACAACTGGCAAAAAAACAACAACAAAACCCATATACATATATAATATTATTTTTTTAAATTTGACAATCTGTAAAATTTCAAAGCTATCATGTCTGAAACTACAAACTAGTAGGTTTTAAGAGATAACATTATTTTAGTAAATTATATTACATTGTGAAACAGTTCACAATATAGAAGCAACATTAACTTTCATTTACTTTTTTAATTCCTTTAGTGACTCATACTGTGTTTTCCAAATATAACCGTATTTATCCCTGGCTCAAGATAGTTTTATTTTTGTATACTGCAATTTCATTTGCACTTCTTTAAACTGCCACACACGACTCAAATATCCATAAACATAATATAAATGGAAAACAACAACAAATGAGCAGCAAATAAAGCATTGTGATTGGATTATTTTAATTTACTTTTTGGAAAGTTTTGTCAAGCATGGCCATGTTAATTAATAAGATCAGTTTAAAGTGTCATTCCTACATTTCTGCACTTAGTAGCTTACAGCGAAAGGAGAATAAATAATCCACATTGACCTTCAAAAACAGCCTTGCATAGAGCAAAAAAATCAACCAGATAAGAAGTATAGCTAATTAAATAAACTTTTTTTATGTTTTTACTTATGAAAATCAGAATTCATTGTTTCATCAATTGGATATCTTCACTGTTAAAAGTACTTCTGGCCATAATCCCAATAACATTTCACAAGGTTCAGCCAGCTTAGGAGATTTAGGTTAGACTTAAATACATATATTAATTTAAGAAAACAAAAAAATATCTCTACAATAAAAGTATAACAACAGAAAAAATCCTAAAAAGTAATAAAAGTAGATATACTAAACATTTTAACCAAAACTATTAATAAAATAACAATAAAGAAATAACACAATATACTTTACTTAGGGAACAGAACCACGAGTTATTAGCTTCGAGTATTGTCATAGATTTAGTTTTCTTTGAAAAATGTAACAATGTAAACTGCATTAAACACAAATATTCTAAAGAATATAAAGAAAAGTTTAGTTTTGTTACTTTCTATTTCACCAAACATTCTGTGCTCTACTTTGTTTAAAATAAAATATTTCCTACTTGTGTCATCCTATTTCCTTTATGTCTGCTACTAGTATCATAAGACTGACTGTGTTAGTAACTTTAATACAGTGCATATGGTATTAATAATTACAAGTATTATTAATTGTGTGACTACAGTTTGCCTATTCAAGTGGCCTGATAAAGAGAAAATTGTTTATTGCTCACTATCCACATGCAAAAATAAGAGTTACTATGTTTATGTTGAATATAATATAAAAAATATTGAATAATGTCTGCAAATAAATTAAATATCGCACAAAGCTACTCGAGGGCTATCTACATTAGCCATCCCTAAGTTTGAAGTGAAAGACTAGAGGGAAGGTAGCTATTCAACACCTCTCATTGCCAGTTCTTGGGCTACTCTTTACCAATGAATAATTGGATGGATCATCACATTATAATGCCCCATGGTTTAGAGAGCAAGCACCTTCGGTGATGAGAGTCAAACTTGAGACCCACATATCGAAAGTTGTTTAGTGTTTGCAAATAAACATTCTAGTAACCGATATCTAAAAATGTTCAGCTTGCTTGTACTAAGAAGTTTCCAATGGTATGTGTTTTTTTTTGTTTTTTTAACATAGTATCTTCATTCAAACATTCTCACCTGGCCTTCTTTTCTTTATAATCATACACTTGAACTGCAGCATTGTGGGGCACTCTTAATGTGACAACTTTGGTTTTGTCACGAGCTTCAGTAGCACTTCTGGTTATAGCTGCAGCACTTGCTTGTTTGTTCCAATCACCTCTGTCGGCTAATGGATCACGATATCCACTTAGGAGTTCTTCTACTACAGTAGGTAGTTCTTTGTTCCATAACTCTTCATCCTGGTTTAACATATAGGCCTCTCCACATACTAATCTCACCTGTGGAAGGAAATAAAAGACATGAAGGCTTAACAGAATTCATGCCATTAGCTCTTTCATAGTTTTCAGTATTGACAGAAATCAATAAGTTACAGCAATCAATACCTCTGCTGATATATGCTGCTTTGTTTTTAATTTTGACTAGAAAATTAAATCTACATTTCTGCTTTGTTTGCTAAACAAATTTTGATTTTTGATATATCCTTTTATAAAGAAAAGTTTAGTTTTGTTACTTTCTATTTCACCAAACATTCTGTACTCTACTTTGTTTAAAATAAAATATTTCCTACTTGTGTCATCCAATTTCCTTTATACTTGAAGGCATCAAAACCTAATTTTCAGCAGTTTGGTTTGTTTTGAATTTTGCACAAAGCTACTCAAGGGATATCTGCACTAGCTGTCCCTAATTCAGCACTAAAAGACTAGAGAGAAGGCAGCTAGTAAACACCATCCACCACCAACTCTTAGTCTACTCTTTTACCAATAAATAGTGGGATTGACCATTACATTATAATGCCCCCACAGCTGAAAAGGCGAGCATGTTTGGTGATGGAAATTTCAACCCACAACCTGCAGATTGCAAGTCGAGCACCCTAACCAACAAGCCATGCCAGGCTAAATTTTCAATTTTATAAACCCTCTAACATTTTACTGAGCCACTAGAGAGTCTGTTAAAAGTAGGAGATATATGATGATTTTATAAATAGTAACAGACATATTCAAAACTATGCTGTGGCCAACTGACTAATTAGCAAGCTTTGATGTGTTGAATAGGTTACTGAATTGAAGCAGAATATAAGAAATAGTTCCAAGTGTTACACACTTCCCCAAGATGAGTCCAAGTGACTCTGCATGAAAGTTGAAAAAAAATGCATAAGTACCATTTCTTTAAAAAAAAAAAGAAGAAGAAATATTGAGCACAAAAACTTTCGGACAACTATTACAGCCGTTAAGTTTATACAAGACTACATCAAAAGAACAGGAAATATCTTTAAATATAATCTTGTTAGCTTTACAATTCAGATTAGTGATATTTGGTTTAAAAGTTAATTAAATAAACATGGGGAACAAAACATGTCCACAGTTTTCTGAAGTAATACTAATAACTTTACCCTTCCAGTTTTGATGTCTCTGACATATATTCCCTCATTTTCGTCTAATGGAATAGTGTATCGTTTGGTGACAACTTCAACTTCTACTGGTGGAATATACTCCACTGGACCACGGATCATCCATTTATCACCTGGTTTTCTCTTAACAGCCTAAGATAATAAAAACAATATGCTGCACAAACTTTTACACTTAATATATTCAAATAAAACATTATAAGTATGTCAATCTGAAAGTTTCATTTACAAATTAAAAATTAAATGTTTTGATAATTTTACAATAAAATATTGTAACTGGGAAATTTACCACATACATATCCTGTTAAGTATTTCTTCAGTATATCTAGCAGAAAACAAAATTATATTACCTTTTTTGTTCAGTATGCATGATGTACATGTACACACTTCAATCAATATTCTTAGCAACTTTATAACGGTAACACAGGCCTGCGATAGTTTATTGTCTTGAAATGTTTACA